GTTAAAATATGACAAATTCGCGTCAATCAAAAATAGCCCATAATTTTCTTCCTATTAGGTTTGCAGAAATGTTTGGAATCTTAAAACATTGTTTAAAAGATTCCATGTCAATTTCTTAACATACCGGGTTTTAAACAAAAAAGTTATTAACGTTTCAACTTGAAACTTTCAAGTTAGCCCAATTTGCCCTGGGGTTTCTCGGGTAATTTGTTGAAAAATGTTAAAGAATTGACATGGAATTTTTTAAACAATGTTTTAAGATTCCAAACATTTTACCCCTATATTCGTAAACCTTATAGCAAACCTCTAGAAAACTATTCACTTTAGGTATAGAACATGGTATAGTAATTTTACTCAGAATTTTATGTAGAATTTAAAAATGTAAAATTATATGGGGTGTTCTATTTGAAATAACAAAGTTGATGTCACTTCCGGCATTTTGTTCAAAATATTCAAAAAAATAGACTTAATGGATAAACGCTTTTAAATTTAAAATCAATATTTTTTTCCGTTCCCCAGAAACTACCAATGGTCTACGAATGTGAAACCCTGTATATCAAGTGGTGTTTTTAGATTGTTATACCACTATAGATTCAGCAATGTATAATCGTCAAACTAAAAGATCAAGATTTGTTTTCAACATATATTTAATATAAGATAAATAAAAATCTGTTGTTTTATCAAAAAAAAATCAAAAATTAAAACAGGAAATATTTTTTATACTTAAAAAGTATAATTTTTGTATTATGTAAAAACATAAAATATTTGCAGAAAAAAAATGATTTATAACAAAATAGAGAATTAAAAATCTATTTAGGTTAAAATAATAGGAATGGCTGTGTAAAAAAAAATCGTGAAACGGTGAGATACGGGTACGTTTTTTAACCTTTATTTTTAAAATTGTTAAAAATTTTCATGGGAGGAAAATTGAGTTGTACTGTGTAATAATATAAACCGTGATAAAAATACCATAACAAGTTGTGTTAATTTATTCAAGCTATTTAAAATTTGACACAGGTTTCCCTAAGGCTATTTATTAACAAAGTTAAAATCTTAACTGCTTCCCAAATTTATTTATAAATAATCCGTTACAACGAGAGATCAAAATCATTTAACCTATCATTTAAAAAAAACTTGATTTAAATTATAATTCGCTTTATTACGAAATTATGGCGATAGTGCTGTTAAAAGTTATTAATTATCACCACATTAATAAATATTTAAAACCATTTAAGTAAAAACAGAAACTAGTTAATTCAATGCAAATTGTGTTTGAATAAATTCGCTGTGTGCGTATTATCACCATTATGAAGTCGACTATGGGAAAGGAAACTTGCAAGAAACGTCAGTGAAAATGCGCGGACTCAAAAACAGTTTTACCTCAACGATGTGCCTTTTATCGTAGCAAAAATTGTGATATTGAAAATGATAATAAAGTGATTCGAAATGGGGCAGCAACCTTCGAAAACCAAAACGAAGAAATCCGCTTGGAACAAGATTGAAAGGATATCTCAGAAAGGTACTTGTCTTAATAAATAAAAGTTCAAAATAACAGTTTCTATAAGGTCAAAATTTCACCTGTAATTTATAAGGTAAATAATTTGCTATTTATGTAACCAAAACTGGTTTGTTAGGTTACATGTTCAGATGATCTAATGTTTGACGTTTATTTTTATCCATTCGTTTATTTCAATGATTTGTACGGCTTGATAACGGAATTATGCCTAAAAAATAGTCCACTGTAATAAACTTCATTGATTTGGTCAAATTAAATTAAACCTTTCTCTTTCATCACAATGGTTTGTTAAATTTATTTGATGGTTCTGTTATTTATTAATTTTTTATAATAAACATCATTAAGGCAATGAAAATGCTCACTTACAAACAATATAAAAAAATGAAAGTAAATCGTGGACAATGAAAGTTGTTTTTAAGCAAAATTAAGCGTGTATACTGAATTGCTAAACATTTATATGTTTTATAATGGATATTATTATTTATATAAATAATGCAACATTAATAAAAAAAACTATTGAACTATTGTTTGTATTATAATATAAAAAATACGCAGTGAAATCGTTTAATTTTATATAAAATAATAACAATTCTAGAAAAATATTATTTTAGCTATAGTATACTATAGTATATACTGTATATACTGTATATATACAAAACTGTCCAGTTTCGGAACCATTTTCGTTAACACATAAAAAATTGCAAATCTTATTAAGTTTGCACTTTTAGGACTTTTCCACTCATGAACATACACATGAAGACTAAAAACGTAACTTTTTTTTGTCTTTTTTAGAAAGTTGAACCCACGGTTTTACTTGGTCATCTCTTATTCTTCTGCGTCTCTCACGTCCTGCTTGTCGTTTGGATTCGTTGGTCAACTTGTTTCGTGGTTTTGTCATTTTAATTAATTTCCCATGGGAATATTTCATTTCAGTGCACTGAAATGAAATATTTTAAATTGGTTACATGTAAGGGACACGACAATGACGAGCACGGTAATGATGATTTTAAGGTTGGAGTGTTTTACAATGCTTATTCGAAAATGTAATGGTATTTTCAAGTTACCATTTGCTTTTTGTTAATGCAAGACTCTTTTGTATTAATGTAATTATTTTGTATGTCCATAAACTTTGAAATAATACTTACCCCGACAATGACGTAACAAGCCATTTTCGTTTTCATGCGGCGCAAGTCACAACTTTATGGTTTGACATATGCTAGTGGACGTTAGACAGGCAGGATATTTCCATATTAGACGTTCGAAAACTTCTGGCATTTTCCGAATGTATCGCTTATTTAAATATGAAATTAGGCACATTTTAAGTAGCCACGGCAATGACGCTCATGGGTGTGAACAAAGTTTAAACGGCATTAAAAGAAAAGTTAACATTTTAAAATTAAATGTTTTGCTTGCATTGTATTATTTTGTATTTTCTTCGTCTGTGTAGACAGAATATTGCAAGATTTAATTTGTAAATAAATGTAAGAAAATAATATGTTGTTGTTCTTCGAATGTGAACAAGGCACGGTAATGACGTTTGCGTCAACAAAATTAAAATATATTTACTATGCCCGTTTAGACTAAAATAAGTAAGGAATCAAGTAAAAATAGTTAATTAAACTAGTAAGTAAGGAATCAAGTAAACATAGTTAATTAAACTAGACATCAAGTATTTTATTTTCAGTGGGATATTAACTTTTGAAATAACAAGCCAGAACCGATTGAATTACCCACATATGTATACACTGACCGGCAAATGTATGGAAAAAATTCATTAAAAAATGTGCTTTTTTCCCCAAAATTTGCTTTTTAATTCCACACATTTTGACGTAAAATTTTTATATTTGCCGCCATTTTTGTAGAAGCTACGACGTTTTTTTAAATTGTACCCCCTCTTTTTTGTAGATTATGAAATTCTAAATTATTATTATTAAATTTAAAAGTTCGTCATTTAAACACTTTTTTTTTCAAAAAAATATCTGAAAATTATTTTTAAAATGCTTTTAATTCATACATTTACCAATTAAATGTTAGAATTGCTCCCCGTTGGATTCTTGACAAGCCTATACAAATTTTCTGAGAACGACATTCTTCAAGAATTTGATTTTTTAAGTCTTCTGTGGTCTGTTGATGTAGACCTTTGATTTAAGGTAACCCTATAAGAAATAATCGAAAGGGGTGAGACAATAATAAACTGAAAAAGTTTGACCTTGAAATTAAATATTTTGAGAAAATTAAGGAACATTTCTTCTATAAACAATTTTATCAAAACCCCATTAAAAAGTGTTATAAAACATTAAAACATTATTAAAAACTAAATTTTTCACTTTTAATAATTAATATTCCCAAACTATCAGCCCAAAAGGTACGAGGTGTGTTCAGAAAATAACGGGAACTGTTAAATTTCGCGGGTTCGGAGGGTGCGGTTGTCATAAAATTTTCTTTATTATGTTGGTATACATGCCCCCGAAGTATAATAAAAACTTTAGCTGTTTTCATTGTTTACTCTGTCTGTGGCAGCCGCTAAGGTTAGACGTGTTTTATGAGCTCGGCGATTTTTCGTTCTTTAAAAGAAATGGATCAAAGAATTTGTATCCAATTTTGCTTTAAAAATGAAATTAATTCTGTGAAATGTTAACAAAGGCCTATAGCGAGTCTGCTATAAGTAAAACAAGAGTTTACAAGTGGTATAAGGGTTTCCAAGATGGCCGTGAAGACGTTGAAGATGACCCCGAACGCACAAGCACATTAAAAACCGATAAAAACATGGAAAAAGTGGAAGAAATGGTTATAAACCATCAGAGAAGTCGCTGATAATGTTGGTATATCGATTGACTCATCCCATTAAATTTTTTCAAATGTTTTGAGTATGAAACGCGTGGCAGAAAAATTTGTTCTAAAATTGTTAAATTTTGAACAAAATTTTTGGCCAAAAACAATACTGTATGATGCCCCAGCCTCCATATTCGCCAGACATGCCTCTGTCTGACTTTTTCCTATTCCCAAAAATAAAGAAAACCTTAAAGGGTCGTTGTTTTGCAAGAATAGATGACATTAAAAGCGCATCGCTGAAAGAGCTAAAGGCTATCCCAAAGATTGAGTTTTAGAAGTGTTTCGAGTATTGGAAGAAGAGCTGGCACATGTGCATAATATCCAATGGGGACTATTTTGAAGGCGACAACATTAATGTAGACGAATAAATAAATATTTGTTTCTAAAAATGAAAATTCCCGATATTTTCTGAACACACCTCGTATATATTATATACATTGTACAGTAATCATAATATAGTAACATTTATAATTTTCCTTAAGTAGCCTTAATTTTAGAGCAAAATAAGGAAATGTCGCTGGAAATTAAAAGTTATATCTTGATATTTCTAAAGTGACTAATAAATATTTAATTACAAGTGTATTTTGTGTATGCCCTTTCATAGCTTATATAATTAATCGGTTATAAACTAACGGTTATTTTATTGTTTCAGAAAAAAAGAAGTTAATTAATACACCAAACGATGTCAAAACGAAAAAATACGTTGTTTCAGCGAAAGAAAAGAAAACGGAATCTCCAAAGAGTAAGTAATTGTTTACTTTATCTCACTGCTGCATGGGTTGAAAACAATGCATTTGCATAATAATAGAACTTAACTAAGTCTAAGAAGCAGGTGAAACCGTGGGATATTTTAAGAAACGACGTATAAATTAAGCTTAATTCAGATATTAGTCGATGTACTCGGTCGCCCAGGTACTATACTCGTTGGTACTAGATTTTTTATTAATAATTAAAATAATAATATATACTATTTTAATAATATTTTTTATCTCCACGCGGTCTATAATTTAAACTTTATTGTTGTCAACATTCGATAAAGAAATTCCTTGTTATGGCCTAGGCCGATAAAAATGTTTATGAGGCAAGTAATTAGTTCGATTTTTTCTCGCTAGGGGTATTGTTTTGACAAATTAATCCTTTTTTAAGAAATTAACGTACAAAACTGGTTTAATTTATTTATAATAGGCACTAATTTGTTTGTTTTACTGTTAATGTTTAATATTTTTCATTAAATTATTGTAAAATTAAATATGAATAATAAAACAAAAAGTGAGGTTAGGCAACCAAGAAAACGCACGATTCTTTTTTTACGATTTAAATTATCTCTAAGTTTTAATTTGCTTTAAGTTTTCAGGGAAATTAAATGTTAAACACAGCTTAAAGTTTAAGCCTTAAACATTCCAAACTACCTATTTTTTAAATAAAAATCCAAACAAATTGAAATTAGATACCTACCTATTTATTAAACAATTAATTGAATTCAATGTAATAGCAAAAATCCATTTCTACTTAAATCATGTTGCTAGGTATTGTCAAACTATTACTGCTTCTAAAAGCAATAATAATTATTGTACATTTAATGTAATCTTTAGCTAATAAATAAATGAGATTCTAAAAAAGTGAGGTTAGGCCGCTTTGATGTTGAATTAAATCGACCTATATAAAGTGCTTTGAAGATAAAATTTTGTATGCCATTCAGCCAAGAAGTGCCTTTTTGTGCTTCGCTCAATTGTAGGCCTCCGCTACACGTCGGCCTTTAAACCTTGAGCTTAGCACAAAAAGCCTTACTTCTTAACCTAATGACATAAATAACTATTATCATCTTAATTCCTAAAATTTAATAATAGATTTGTTTTTATAACTAACAAATTGTTTGATAAGGAGTAAAACCAACTTTTATTATAAGGTAAGCAGAAAGTACCAAACATCCTGTATGAGTATTTTCTTTTGCATGCATGTTTTAGAAAGCTGTTTCATATTTTCAAGTTTTTTCCTAAATAAAAGTAACAAAAATTACTTAAAAATTATTAATCAATTAATAAGTTTGCATATACATTGACAAACTTATTTGGAATTTCTCTTTAGAGCAAAAAAGTTATTTGAATTTCGAGCTAATTATGAGAACCGTTTTAATATTGATTTACGGCGTTGGTATTAACATAATTAATGGTTTTTCTTTATTAACCATAATTACACAAACAATTAATTAGGTAATGAAAATTATTGTCCATTTTATTACTACTTTAGTAATACAATTAAATTACTACTACGTTCTTATGCAATCGTAATCTTGTTTCAGGTTATTAATTTAGAATAATACCGCTTAAAAGTTTAAGATCAATGCTATTAGTTTACATAATGTGTGGCTACGATTAGGTATAGGGTTTTAAAAGTATTATATTTATTTTTAATGTTTATGTAGTCAGGCATTAGGCAAATTTATTCATGAGGCATTTACCTTACTTTCTATTTTTAATCTTATTTTATTTGGTTAAAAATCTACCTCTTAATAGAGGTAATGTCGTTAAATCGTTAAACGTTATACATAGGGCGCCAGTTTTTACAATATTATAAAACTGTAAATTGTTTTAAAGTGTTTTTTTCAGTAATTTTAAGCTATATTTTAATGTAACCTATTTCAGATATTTAAGGAAAAAAATCTAGCTTCCATATTAAAAAAAAATAACAAACCAAATACGTAGCACTGACATATTAATTAAAAACGCATGAAAATTTTTTGACTATAGTCCTAAATCGGCTTCAAATAAAAAAATTATGTCATGTTTCAGCTATAGCTGTATATATATTATAATATTAACCTGGCACATACATGTGACACTTAGTATTTTTTTAAAATCATACTTTATATTTTTATAAACTTAGAAATAAATTATTAAAAAACTTAAAATTTTGCACACTACTAAGTGTCAGATCTGGAGATCTTGGGGCCATTTTTTTGGTCCTCTTCTAGCGATCTTCACTTTTCTGGATGATTCTGATCCAGACAAGTCCCATCTTGCTGAAAATGCAATAAATTATCATTCAAAGCTATCATTCTCTCCTCTTTGATTTTCTAGTTCATTTATTATTGGCTGTATTGTTTCATCTAACATTTTAAAATAAATTTAAATTTTGGCCAATAAATAACTTTTTCAGTATGATTTTCTTTGATAAGATGAGGATTTTCATTGCTTCAATAACGACAATGTTGTTTGTTTAAGTTTCCATTTGGATAAAAAGGACACTCATAGCTAAATCAAATGTTTTTAGTATTCCTATCTCAGTTGGGGACAAAAATGCAAGAATGATTGAGGAAAAACTTTCTTATTTTGGCTGTACCATCATCCCCTTAAAGGATGACAACTTATTTGGTGACACCCTGTATACTTTTTTAATCCATGCAATTATATATTTGTTGAAATAACTTTTTGTTTTACGAAACACCTAATTTTAATTTCAATTACTGAATGAACCTATTTTTTAATTATATAAAAATTAGGAAAGCATGTTTACTTTGATGAATTTCGTTTCATTATCTAATTCTTTTTAATTTATTATTCCATAATTCTAACGAATTTCACATGTTACCACAACAAACAAACAAACAAATTTATGTCCAGGGAAGTTGCCAAATACTCAAAAACAAACCAAATTGCATAATTAGGTCCATTGTATTTAAATGGTTAAAAAAATCTATTGTTTCTTTAATTCGTTTAGGAACTGTTAATTACGGAAATGTATTATGCAAGATTTAACCTCGCATACAAACTTGTATAAAACTTGATTTTCCTGCTATGATTTCGAGTCCAAGCTGATGAAAACGTGAAAACTATTTTCGGAGAATTTGTAATGTTTGTGTTATTTATAAATATCAAATACTAAGGGGAAAACACAGTTTTGACCAATTAACTGGAAAGATTAGTCGTTTAAGAGCAATTTTAAGTTTTCTGGATTTCCATATAGATTACAAAATTACATTATGTTTTAAGTCGTTAAATTGTTTTAGTAGTGCAATTTTTTTTTTTTAAACAAAATGGGGCATGCTAATTTTATGAATTTCTTATGCAGAGTTTCCTAAATGTTCTTCTGTCTAAAATTAATCCACTCTTTTGGCATCTTAATAGGGGGTAAGCAAAGGGGGTTATTAAAAATTTTAATAAATGTATGAATAAATAAATAAACATTTTATTTACCCAGTACGAAATTTTATATTATATTAATGCAAGAACCGCGTAATCTAAATACATAATGTATTCAAATAACGTTCATAGAAGTACAGTACATTTCTAACGCATTATAAATCCAAAAGAAGCAAGAAAATAATTAAGTGAATAAAATTAACTGTTCGGTTAACAAGCTTGAGTTGTCGCCCAATTATCCCTTTTTTATTTTTTTCACTTTGGTGGTAACAGGCCACAACCGTTCTTTTTATATAATTTATTGCCGAACCTAAGACATCAAAAAATTTGTATAATTAGATATCTTCTGCTTTCTTTGAACTTGAGCGCTGTAATTGCCCTTGTAATTTATGGGGTTCAGTTATTTATGTTTAACATTATTACTACGAATAGTATTTTTATGTTTGTTGTCACCTCACAAATAAAAAAAATTGTATTAAATGAGGTTTGATTAAAAGAAAAAAATTGGACGTTTGTTTCTCAAAACACTTAAGAATTAAGTGTTAATTTTATCGTTTACATACTTTTAGTAGAAGATACTTTTACTTTTCAAAATAACAAACAGTTGTTTCTTTTAAGTTACAATCTAATGTAAAAAAATAAACTTTGTAGTACCCACTGAATAAATTATTGAGCATGTAATTATATATTTACCTGAAAATGTATCCGATATTTAAAATTTAAATACCCCTTCATAAAATCGCACTTAGCAGTTTAGAAAGTACCAAGCGGCCAACGAAGAAAGTACTACTACTACCACTCGACTCGTATACGAGTGCTTGTTCAATTGTTTCGGTCCGTCTAGTAGTTCCATCCATCCATCCATCAGTTGAGTTCTTTTGTTCGGTGCGCCTACTATGCTTTACGATGTTTTTGATGACCGCATAAATAGTTATCATAATAGTGCGAAACTTTAAAGACTATTTAGATTTTAATTTGAACGGTGCAATATTCCTGTGCAACGCAATGGGGGTCAACGGTAAAAGAAATAAGATCAGTGAAGTTCACTTTTATAGAGATAACAGTGATAATGTGAAACCGGCATGGGTAGCGAAAAAAGATAAAGTGAGAGGTAAAGGCAATTTACAAATAATTTACAAATAATTTAATTAATAATTTAATGGAAAAATCGATTAAGTTTATTAATAATATTATTCATACAAAATTATCAACTTTAATGAAAAAATATCATGATATTTCGAATTTCAGAATTGTTGCGTTAAAAATTTAATTACAAATATGTATGGTATTTTTATTAATAATTAAAATGTGCAAATAATTTTTTATTGATGATTATTACCTTTTGCCAATATACTTTTATCTTGAAATATTTCTACCTTTCCTTTACTTGAAAGGTACATCAATATTTTATTGTTTTGAAAACACCTCGAAAACACAAACCTACGTTTATTTATTAACCACACTAAAAATAATAAATATGGTGATCGTTAAATATGTATTTTCCTTTGAAATGCAAAACAGAAGTAGAAAACAGTCGTTAAACTTAAACCTTTTAGTTTAGTGTGTCGGGAACAAAAGTCTAGAAATTTAATAATTATGTAAACTGTTGATTTCTGCTATGAAACTTGGAAAGTGAACCGAAGTGAAAATGTTCTATATGATGGTTATTTTAATGGTTGTAATAAAATTTGTTGTGATACAATGTAGTGAGTACAATCTATGTTAGGTTCAAAAAAGTTTTAAATTGTATCTTATAATTTATAAAGTGGGTTGATGCGAATTAATCATTGGAAGTTACTGACTGTATAATATAAAAATATAAATGCTAAACACTGAAATAGCAAAAAACTTACTTCCTTCTTTTTATTTGCGGTTTATCGCTGCATTAAAAGAATTTTAGATCTAAATAACTCTTCAAATATTTGCCAAGCAATCATCCAGAAATAAAACGTTTCTTTATATACCAATTTTTTTTAATAATTAATCAATGTTGGTAAATAAACCATAAAAACATTTAAAATATTTATTCTGCTAAACATTTTTTTAAATAGTTTAAAAGTATTTGTGAAGGGTAGACTCTTAGACCAAATAAGTTATTTAACAGTTATCAAATGTCATACAATCGTTAAAATAAAGTACCCTTCTTGTGAAACAATAATGTGGGAATTATTTTATTATCTTAATACAAAGATACAAAAGTATTAAATAGTAAACTAGATTTAACTGATAAGCATTCAAAATTTCGGGTGAAGACTCCACCGTGAAGTGCCCATAAAACTTTCACTGTGAAAAACTGCTTCTATATCAGATTTAAACGGTTGTTAGTCCATTTTCAAGGGATACATTTCGATTTTCACATACAAATTTGACATTTTGTCCGGTAATACAGATTCCCAGTTGGGAATTCTTAAGCGATTTACTCTATTTTTGTATATATTTCGCTTTATACAAATATTTAATTTAAATCATTTTTAAAAAATAATAATAAATATTTGTCTTAGAAAAAGTATAATATGCAACTCGCTTGTCAACTTTTCTAGACACTCATTTAATTAAACACTCGCTCGCAAGCATAATTAAATTTTTTAACTCTTTTCTATTATATAATATTTTAAAATGTAAAATATGCCTCCATTTATTTAGTTACTAATTTTTCTATTTAAGTTAATTAAACAGCAGTTTTTATTGACACAAATTTGACATAGTTGTCAAATGAACTTTTTAAACATCATAGTAGCATTTTTGAACAAATTGTATTAAAATCTTTAACATTAATAAATTGTCCTAAACAACAACAACAAAATCCCTTAACAGTATAATATATAATAGTATAATATTATTATGTATCAAGTTTGATAAACGCCATTTTAGTTACGAATTTAATTTAGGCACGATCGAGCTTGCATACTATACTTTTTCTACGACAAATACTTATTATTATCCAAAAAATGATTTTAATTAAATATTTGCATAAAGCGACATCTATACGAAAATAAAGTAACCATCCCAATAAAAATTTTTGACTTAATTTTACCCATTGACATTGCCCGTTATTATTTTAATTGAACTTAACAATTATTAATACTTTAAAATAGTGATGTAACGGTTCCGGGTTTTACGGTTACGGTTACGATTACGGTTATCTCTACGGTTACGAATACATTCACGGTTATTCAAAAAAAAAATGCAGAATTAAGAAAATAATAATTTATGTAAAAAAAAATGAAATGAGTAACATTTTAAACCTAAAAACAGTAAAAACTAAGTAGGTACCTGAATAATATATTTAAAAAAACAAAAAAGTCAAAAGTTAATATTCAAAATTTACGGCAGTCAATTTTTGTATACAAACCATCGTCAGTGAATTCGGAGAGGTTGTTTTCGACTGCAGGTCTTGTGCAAAACCAAAGAGAAACAGGCTGATTCCGCAGAATTTGCAAAAAAAAAATGAAATGAGTAACATTTTAAACCTAAAAACAGTAAAAACTAAGTAGGTACCTGAATAATATAAATTGACTGGCGTAAATTTTGAATATTGACTTTCGACTTTTTTATTTTTTTAAATATATTATATAATACATAATATGTAATATAATATATATTATACTGTATAATTTATACATAATAAATACGTTAGTGCCAACAATCTCAAAAGCGGAAACGTGTTCGATGAAAAACCGTAAATACCGTATACGGTTACGGTTAACCGTATAATATCGAAAACCGTGAATTAACCGTAACTGTAACCGTAACCGTTGCAACACTACTTTAAAATATTAAAATAACTTCAAAATATGATTATGTTAAGAAAATATTTTATGCTTTGATTTTTTTATTACTATAATGGCAGAATATTATCACAAAGAATTAAAAATTCTTACATGGGAAATGTTAAAGGTTCAAAAAGTGACAGTTGTATTTATTGGAATTCCCGTTAGAATTACTAACTTGGGAATCTACCGGCGTTAAAATCTCAAATTTTTCTGTGTAAATAAAAATTTATTTCTTGAAAATAGTACGTTTTTATTTTTTTATTGAGATCATAAAATAATTTTCACATTTAGTGTATTTTTACAAGATAGGCACTTTATTTTAACGATTGTATGACATTTGACACCTGTCAACTAACTTAAAACTAATTTCAGCCCGTGACTAAAAACCTGTTACTAACTTTAGCCCGTGACTAAAGGGCCATAAAGCCACAACTTGTCAATGTGTATTTAAAAGGTCACTTAGTGTCATGGAACACGATAATGGGCGTTATAAAGTTGAGACTAAAAAAATGTTAAAAATATTATTACGAAACTAATACTATTTTTTAATTAAAAATGAAAATTTATTAATTAATAATAAATATTTAGGTTAAATTTAATTTTTAATCAGACTAGAAAATACTTTTACCTATTACCCTATTAATTTTACGCTTTTACCTAATTTCCATGTATAAATACAACAAATATTTTTTCTTTTATTATAAATAATTATTGTACAAATATACTTACGATTGAATTAACGTTTAACTATTAGGTAGAAATACAAACAAGGCATCCCAGATAAAAATACTTTCATTATTTTTGTTACAAAACTAATTGGTCAAAATCCTCACGGATTATACCACAGAATATTCTGTGATTATACTGTAATAAATTATGGATATTTTAAATAGATTTATATTTATCGCTTGTGGTTTTTTAGAAAGTTTAAAAATTAGAGCTTATTATTCGAAAAGTGGCGGGTACTTGCAAATGTATGGAGATCGAGTGCATAATATGCGAATTTATTAAATTTTGATTTAAATTTTATATGGTTTCATTATTTCCAAATAGTATTAGAAAGCATTTATCAATTTTTAATTATACAGGGTGGCCTTAAAGCCTATTAAAATTATAACTGAACTGAATACTACCGTTAATGGCAGATGTTCATAATTGAAAAAATATCATTTCATACTTCACAAGCCAGCATTTGCTTGCGCTGTTTAATGTTAATGATTTAATTATTTACAATAAAAACTATTCAATTTTATTTTTTTGTCCTCATAAATACAATGAAATAATCTGTTATTTCAAGAGGACTTTTGATGATTTATTAACTGTGATAGACAAGAAATTTAGGTGTATGTGCTCGATTTTATTACTTAAATTACACACTGCGCCTGTTAAAAGGTTAGTGACTTTTGCGAAAACTTTTTTAATTAATTGTTGTATGAGGTAATTATAACGAAGGTATCTTCCCACGGTTCAACCAAGCCTGTAAAAATAATTATATTTCTCCCATTTAGGGATTACAATATTTTAATAATTTTCCTCCTTAGTTTCAGATAATAGAAACAATGTAAAGCCGAGCAGACAACTGATCGTGGGACCTTCCAAAAGAAACCAAACGACTTCGAAAGAAGACCACCGTATAGTTGAAGCCCTTGCGATACTTGTTCAACATCTAGTCTTCAATGTAAGTCACTGAATTAATTAATAATTTAAAAAGGGTCTCCACACCATCTCAAAACAAATCTACCGAAGGCAATGTTCAGTATGTCTCAACGACTTTCAAAAGAAAGCCTTAAAGATGTTATTAATCGCCCACACTCGCATTTTATGAAAGGAAATTGCAACGATTCAACCATTGCGAGCAATTTACCCAGCGATTTGTTTTAGTTATCTAAAAACTGTAAAAGAAAGCTTACCAACTAAAATTTGATATTTGAACATATAAAATTATAAAACCTTATTACACAATAAGCATTGTTATTACAGTAATAATTTCACTTATAAAAGTGTAATTTAATGAAAGTTTTTTTCACATTTCAGTCAGTTAAATTATTAAACTTTTATATTTATTTATTTTTTCAGGTGGATGCTTTTTCAGCACCTGCATTAAAAAGAGAATTAAACATACAAAAATCAGAAAAAGAAGAGTGGAAAAAGTCATACGAAACGCTAGAAGAATCGATAAACAATGAAAAAAGTGAACATTTGCAAGCTTTGGAAGAAGAAAGGGCGTTACAGAAGAAACAATTGGAAGACCTTATAGAAAGTCATACATTAGCCATTTCAAATTGTAAGCATACAAATTTATTTATAATAGGGTTATTCCATCGTTTCGGGTGTTACATTTGTTCAACCAAAATATGAATTTTAAGGTATTTTGAAATAATATTTTAGCAATTAAAGTGCCTTATTCTCTACGTTTTTAGCTGTTCTATCTAAATTGTAAAATTAGTACAGTTTAGCATATAGAATATCGAAAAGTGTGCGTTTCGGGTGTTTCACGATTCTGCCTATATGTCCTGACCATTGTTACATTTATTTGAAATTCAGCGACATTTCTCAGGAAAACATTCCTAAAAATTACAGGCCCCCAAAAGTATAATATTGACTAACCATCGGTAAAAAAAAATTGTAGAAACATAATTATTGACGAAAATTGTAGTATTTGGTATTTTGGTAGGTCCGTTGCCGTTTTGACAACCATCGGAAAAGCAGTCACACCTCTTTAAAAAAAGTATGACTGCTTTAACTATGGCGGCGCTAGTGGGCCGTCTAAAGAGCCTTAATAATACTTATTGTATTTTTCAAGCAATACACAAACATATACCGACATATAAAAAAAGTTGTAACACCCGAAAAGTTTTTAATCAAGAAAAAAATATATCAAATTAGTCTATTAGTAAATTAGTAAATTAGTACTCAGATATTAGTTAGTAGGTATTTTAAATCATTACCACCATAACCTGACTTTTCCTAAAAATTATTACATTAATCAATCTGTAAGGTATAATAATAAAACAATTACCTGATTTTTCGTTTTGGGTGTTACAGTGTTAAAGTAAAAAGAAAGCACACTTATAACGTGATTATTATCAATTTTTTCGGGACTGTAACGCAATCCACCAATACTGCGATAAATAACCTTTATCTATTTTGCGTTCATAATGACATAATTATAACACCGCTTTCGGTGCTGTAATGAGATACTTTATCCCACCAAAATTTTTTTTAGGTTGGCTATACTTTAAACACCATACTAGTAAAATAATATTGGAAATAATATTTTTATATTTTTTTTAGTTCCCCAAAGAAAATCATTTTTTTCTTTTTTAACATTAACAGCCGCTTATTGTAAATAAGTAAATTAAGGACTCCATGGCGAATCGATTTTGTGATACCAACTATCTAAATTAAAATTCGACTAAATTAAATTAATTTTTTTATGGAATTTTTGCAAAATAGATAAAATAGCATAACTCACGTCATACGACCTTTTGTCGCACTCGTCCAATCCAAAATTATAAATTATCCTCGTGCGACAAAATGACGTATTATGACATTATTTCTTTAATAGTATATTAAAGAACTAATGTCATAAGACGTCATTTTGTCCCACGAGTGCGACAAAAGGTCTTATGACATGAGTTCTTTATGCTATTTTATCTAAACTGCGCACCACTCAATGTGTCGCGACCAAAAAGTTCGTCCTTTTTTAAAACGACATAACTTTTTTGTTTCTTGAACGATTTTATTTTGGTCTGTGATGTCTGCTAACCCCATCCTCTGGCAATTCATTCTATAGATATTAAACACACGGTTCTTCAAGTAAATTTTCTACAGGGTGATATGTAAAACGGTGAAAAATTTCAATAATTTCATCCAAGCCCCGTTTGTAAAACAATAATTTTTTTTTCGTTTTTACTTTGAAATAATGAAGTATTATGTGTTACCTTCAAACGTTTTTCAAATTTTTCGAATTGGTATCTTAGCAATATGATTTTTTTTTCCAAAAGAGTACATTTAAGACTTTTTGGTAGGGAATATACTCAGTCTTTTTAAGAACAAGAAAATAAGATGGTAAAAGATTGTTCCTTGAATAATTCTGAACAAGCGACAAGCAACAAACTTCCATTATTTTCAGAGGGGCCTAAGCAAAGACCACTTTTTCAAAATGACATTTTGGTGAAAATTTGCGAAAACTAAACCTGAACCGATATTTACGTTCGAGACATGTTTTCTTTATAATTTTGACCTCCTGATTGTGATTCAAATTTAAGTTTCAGATAAAACCAAAATCATCAAGAATCAAAATTTCAAAACAATTCCCTGTTGTTAAATGTCTTAATAAAATCCGATTGCTGTCGTGTTTCTTGCATATTTATGATGAAAATTTGGCATATTTATGATGAAATTTGGGGATTCATTTTTTGGGAAAAATTACTGCAATTTGTTTGAGTGGTTAGGATAATGTTACATAACATACATTTACATTGAGCAGTAGTGATAACATCATTGATAAGTACATAATTGGTAATAAAGTTAAATACAAATATTTTTGTTCATTTTTGAAAATTGTATGCGTAGATATAATCATAATCAAAACTTCAACATTCAACAGAAAAATGTAACAAACAATAACAATAATACCTTTCAATATTTCGTTGGCCCTCCCCTAAGCCGTAATAATTCGTTAACCCTCCTGGGCATTCCCTCGACCAAGTTCCTTAGAAATTTCTGGGGTACCCCATTCTTCCTGAATAGCATTTACCAATTCATCCAAATTTTTTATGCCTCCTTCCCTTTCTTTCATCTTCAATTTTATCCTGCTCGACACATGCTCAATGAGATTCATATCCGGAGACAAATGTGGCCAATTCATTTTCTCAATATGGTGGTCCCTTAAATACTCATTTACGATATGTAAAAAAAAACAGTAAAAACCAGCAATCGGATTTTATTGACACATTTAACAGACAGGAATTGTTTTTGAATCTTGATTCTTAGTGATTTTGGTTTTATCTGAGACTTAAATTTGACAACTGAATCACAATCAGGAGGTCAAAATTATGAAGAAAACATATTACGAAAGTGAATATCGGTTTAGGTTTAGTTTTTGCAAACTTTCACAAAAATGTCATTTTCAAAAAGTGGTCTTAGCCGAGGCCCTCTAAAAATAATGGAAGTTTGTTGCTTGTCGCTTTTTCAGAATTATTTAAGGAACAATCTTTCACCATCTTATCTTCTTGTTCCTAAAAAGACTGAGTGTATTGCCTTAAAAATAGCCTTAAATGTACTCTTTTGAAAAAAAAATCATATTTTCGTTGCTAAGATTCCAATTCGAAAAATTTGAAAAACCTTTCAAGGTAACACATAATACTTCATTATTTCAAAGTAAAAACGAAAAAAAAAATTATTTTATTACAAACGGGGCTTGGATAAAGTTATTGAAAATTTTCACTGTTTAACATATCACCCTGTAGGAAATTTACTTGACCAACCGTGAGATTCATATCTATAACATAAATTGCCAGAGAATGAGGCTAGTAGACATCACAAACCAAAATAAAATCTTTCAAGAAACAAAAAAGTTATGTCGTTTTGAAAAAGAACGAACTTTTTGGTCGCGACACATTGAGTGGTGCGCAGTTTATTTTGAAAACATTTCATAAAACAAATTAATTTTATACCTTATATTTAATTTGGTCGAATTTTACTTTACATAGTTGGTATCTCAGTTTGAAGTTTGAAAGGTCATTAACCTTTCAAACATTATCACATTCTTTCGCTATAGCGTCCTTAATTTACAATAAGTATTTACAATAAGCGGCTGTTAAAGAAGAAAAAAGGATTTTCTTTGGTGTTAAACAAAATTTATTGCACGAAAAGTCTCGTAAGTACTAGAAAACAAATCATAAAAATATTATAACCTATAGGTATTCAAAATTGTATTTTACCAGTAGCCAACCTATAAAATCAAAATTTTGGGTGGAATAAAGTACCTCATTAAAGAACCAAAAGCGGTGTTATAATGAAGTCATTATGAAACCAAAATAGATAATAGTATATTAAAGAACTAATGTCATAAGACGTCATTTTGTCGCACGCGGACAATTTATAAAACGAGCGACGAAGGAGCGAGTTTTATAATGGACAAGTGCGACAAAAGGTCTTATGACATGAGTTCTTTATGCTATTTTATCTATTTTGCAAACATTTCATAAAACAATAGTATATTACACTACAAGGGCAGAAAGTGTGAGATTCCTGCACTGCGCGCCATGATGCCCGAGGCGAAGCCGAGGGCATCATGGCGCGCAGTTCAGGGCTCTCACACTTTCTGCCCGTGTAGTGTATACTATTTTTCTTGCTACCCCCGCAGAAAATACGGGAAAAAATTAAATGTATATAAAAAAACTTGTGTCAAAATTAAAATCTGACGTTTAATTTAATTCTGACGTTTACATTCAAAATCAATCAAACTGTAGCGTTGTCATGGTAATTCAGCGTTGCCAATACAGTAAAAATAAAAGGTTGTATTTTAATTAACAAATTACTACTTTATAACAAATAAAAGTACCATTAAACACTTAAAACAACATAAAAAGTAAAAAAGTAAAAACATAAATTGTTTATTTGTTGTTATAATTGCAAAATTATGGTTTAAACTGTCATATTTTTGTGTTTCTCATGTTGGCAGTACGAAATTTGAATGTTAAGCACACGACTAAAAAATTTTTTCTTACTACCTCGACTCAAAATACGTTGTTTCGTCCCCGATTTCACGGCAGAAAGTTTACGTTTCTTGCATTGGTCAAGCTATACGCGCACACTCTAATAGCGGGAGTAAAAATTTTTTAGTCGTGTGCTTAACATTTTAATTTCGTACTGCCAACATAAGAAACACAAAAATATGACAGTTTTAAACCATAATTTTGCAATTATAACAACAAATAAACAATTTATGTTTTTACTTTTTTACTTTTTATGTTGTTTTAAGTGTTTAATGGTACTTTTATTTGTTATAAAGTAGTAATTTGTTAATTAAAATACAACCTTTTATTTTTACTGTATTGGCACCGCTGAATTACCATGACAACGCTACAGTTTGATTGATTTTGAATGTAAACGTCAGAATTAAATCAAACGTTTTAATTTTGACACAAGTTTTTTTATATACATTTAATTTTTTCCCGTATTTTCTGCGGGGTAGCAAGAAAAATAGTATACACTACACGGGCAGAAAGTGTGAGAGCCCTGAACTGCGCGCCATGATGCCCTCGGCTTCGCCTCGGGCATCATGGCGCGCAGTGCAGGAATCTCACACTTTCTGCCCTTGTAGTGTAATATACTATTACTCCCGCTATTAGAGTGTGCGCGTATAGCTTGACCAATGCAAGAAACGTAAACTTTCTGCCGTGAAATCGGGGACGAAACAACGTATTTTGAGTCGAGGTAGTAAGAAAATTAATTTTATACCTTATATTTAATTTGGTCGAATTTTTTACATAGTTGGTATCTTAGTTTGAAGTTTGAAAGGTCATTAACCCTTCAAACATTATCACATTCTTTCGCTATGGCGTCGTTAATTTACAATAAGTATTTACAATAAGCGGCTGTTAAAGAAGAAAAAAGGATTTTCTTTGGTGTTAAACAAAATTTATTGCACGAAAAGTCTCGTAAGTACTAGAAAACAAATCATAAAAATATTATAACCTATAGGGATTCAAAATTGTATTTTACCAGTAGCCAACCTATAAAATCAAAATTTTGGGTGGAATAAAGTACATCATTAAAGAACCAAAAGCGGTGTTATAATGAAGTCATTATGAAACCAAAATAGATAAAATACTATTAATCGCAATGTGGCAAAACGGTTGACAGATTGACAGTTTCTTCTTCTTCGTATTTGCAATAGTCACAATGGTCATTCAGCCAGTTCACTTCCCTGCTTAAAATACCCCATAGAGACCTATACAAAATAATCTATCGGGCGCTACCGGATTCAATATGTGCATTTGTCCATGGTTTTTTCCGGATACGGCTCGATAGAAAATGTATAGGAAATTACCTATAGGCACACCATAAATTTTACATTTTCCCTATAGAGACCGATAGCAAATAACTCAATGAAGGATATATAGGGATATCCCTATAGAGCAACCATAAAACATTTGACAAAATTTTATGAAAACCTATGGGGTTCTATAGGGGAAAAACTAATTTCTACATTTATGTGTATTTTCCCCATTGAAACCGATAGCAAATAAATCAAGGGTGGATATCCCTATAGAACAACCATACATCTCAACTATGGGTCCTATACAAACCGATACACCCTATAGAAACACCATAAATCCCGATACAAATATCTATCGGTTTGAACAGGGTCTCTATGGGGTATTTTAAGCAGGGTTGAGTACAGATTTTGAAGACTAATTAACTTAAAAATTACGCGTTTCTTCTAGTTTTTTTTGTCGCACATTATAATCTTTCAAAATTCATCAGATTTAATGCAAAAAGAACATATTTATTTTTTCACCCTCAGTATCGTTTGTCATGGAGTGACCCAATAAATATTTATTTATTTATTTAACATCCAGATATAAGTGTACATCAAATATAATTTCCTCTTATTGAAGGTAATAAATTACCTGTACATAGGTCCGGTACATAACTTAAAACTAGGATCTAAAACTAAAACTAAAATAATATATATTTTCTTTATCATTAGGACTACAGTTTATAATTCCAACTTAATACTATTAAGTTAACAATGAATTATTGGTACAGTTTTTGGTAATCCAGTCTTTTTTAAGCTTAAAAGTAAATTTGTTTTTTTGGGTTATTTACAATTTTGATGTTATTAGGTAACATGTTGAAGATTTTTATACCATTGTAGAGACTAGTTTTTTTACCAACTGCAAGCTTGACTTTTGGCAGTACAATCCTTTTAAACCTAGTTTTTTTATTACTATTTTTGTAGATAATGTAGGTACATGTTATTAAAATGAATAAGTATGGTTTTTAAATAGTAATTTTGATAAATATCAAGATGTTTGTCACAAAACTGATCAGTTCCCAGAATTATCTTCATTATACTTAATATTTTTATTGTAGTGAAACTTCAACATGAAGAGCTGGAAGCCCGCCTGACGCAAGAAAAAGAGAACGCAACCAAGCGAATAACGAAGCAGCACGAAGACCAGCTGACAACGTTGAAATCCGAGTTCTCGAGGTTGCAGCAGAACTACGAGGAACGCTTGGACATTCTGCGCGAAGAGAACGAGGCCATAAGGGAGCAGATCGACGAGAAAAAGCAGGAGGTGGACGGCGTGCGAAGGGAGAACGCGAAAATCAGAAGGGAGCTCGACGGGAAGTCGAAAGAACGAGAGCAGAAGGTCGACGCCGAGAAGCAAAGTTTGGAAGAGGCGATTGCCGAAAGGACGAAGGTTCTGAATGAGGAAAACGAGAGGTTGAGAAAGGAGAACGAACGGTTGCTGAGTTATGGGGATGAGAAAGGAATCGGCATACAGGTAAATAAAAAGTTCTGCAGTACTTTTGTAGAACATAGTAACTAAAGTTACTGGGTTTTAAAAAATTACTTCATTACAGCATTTTTGGATTTAGCCTTCAAATTTACCTCTAGTAACTATTTTTTATCTCTTTTTCTAATTGTAATAATAAAGTTGCTGCTGTTGGCGGGGGTATTTTAAAGTTATTAAATAATTAATATTAAGCTTTAAGTAAATATTTCAGCATTGATTAAAATCTGGCAACTTGAATGTTGATATTTTAATAAGTTAATTTGTGCATATTTCCATCAACATAAAACTTTTTATACTACTATTTGCTGAATTATGATTTACGTAATTTGCACATATCCGAATAAAAATCTGTTTTTATAAATCGGACTTTTCCAGACTAGTTTTACGTTTGGAATAGTGTGTGTAACTTGTAATAACGTTGTTTTATTATTATTCCATATTTGGAACCATTGGGGTTAAAAACTAAAAAGAAAGGAACAATGTTAAAGACTTTGTCCCTTATTTAGAGATTAAAGAAAAAAATTGTTCTGGATTTACATACCATAATATTTAATAATTATTCAATTTTACTTAATATAGTATGGATTTTTTAAATTGTATTTTCCCTAAATAAAATGGTAAAAAACCTAAATAATTATTTATTTTAATTTATAGTCGATTTACTATATTTTACTCAATCATATTAAAAACATTTATAAAATACAGCAATTGATATGGCCAGCTTTTGCATAATTACTTATATAAATAAATTAACAAAATAAAGTAAATCATATTTGTAAACAAATAACTTAGTTTTTTGATAATTTTTTAATTTTTTCAAATTCCTCGTTAAAAATTATGTAGGAATTGATCAGATATTTAAAATATTTTGTTGCAAAGAAAGGCTATGCAATGCTTTGCCAAAGTATGGCAGAGTACCTAAGTATAGTGACATGATATAGTAATATCATAAGGGCATCTAATTTTTCCGAAAAAAATCGAAAAAACACGTTGCTAAGTAATATTTTAACAAGAAGCATAAGTGCTGGTGGCAACAAAAATCCGAGTCGAAGAGGAGGATTTTTGCACCTGCACGAATGCATTTTGTTAAAAAATATTACTTAGCATTGTGTTTTTTCGATTTTTTTCACAGGAAAAATTAGATGCCCGAATGGTATTTGAGAAGATTATTTCATGAGTAACAGTTAACAATTAAAATATAAATTGCAATTTTTGGTGACAACAGCTGTCAAGTTTTGCCGCGGGTAAACTCGAAAAACCTGCTGACAGGTGCTGTCACACAGTTTTTTCACCTAGAAACCATTTGTAATTCAAAATTGCGCGTTTGTGTTTTTTGGAAATTAAGACGAGGGAAATATATCACCTAAATAGTAGTTTTATCGCTGCAAAACTGAAAAAAAACACTCGTTTTCTGGATTATTATTGGCCCCTAAAGTAATGAGTGGAATAGTCGTATACAATACCACTAGCGGTAAAATTTTACCGATAAAATTTTTGAATTTTGCAAGATTTTTTTTTCTTGTAAATTTCGCAAGTGGCATTATTTTTTCCACGAGTCGTTAGTCGAGTTAATGCCACGAGCGAAATTTCCAAGGAAAAATCTTGAGTAAGGGAAAATTTTATCACGAGTGCACACATGGTATTCGGCTAGAACATTTCACAAATATTTTTTTTAAAATTAGAATGAACTGCCGATTCAATTTCTGTATGATTTTTTTGACTAAAAGGCATATTTTTTGACATTTATATATTTTAAAATTAGAAACATTAACATTGACAATTATTTTTGCACAGCAACCAATTGTTTGTTATGCAATTCATAGAGACAAAAAACATTTTTTTTAGCGGTTTAAATTACTATTTGGCAAGCAACGCATGCTTATAAACATTTTTAATATTAAATTTTTCTTACACAAATGTCATTTTAAATTGTAGGAAGTCCAGTCGCTTAGGGCGGTATTGGAAATCAAGCAACGCGATGTATCTGATTTACGTAAAAGTTTGGGCGAAGCAACTCAGAAGTTGGAAATACTGGAGAATGCGGAAGAGCGCGCGAACTTCTTGAGCGCGAAATGCGAGGATCTCAAGTCCCAATTGGAAAGAAAATTAGATATTGAACAGTAAGTGGATTTATATTTGTATTTCTTGTTTATATTTCAGTTTAACTTTGTTTTGTAGGAGTTTGGTGAACGAAAACTGCAAACTGCAGGAGAGTTTCAGCGAAGAAAGGAAGCAGAAAGCGCGCCTTTCTCAGCACAACGAAGAACTTCAATGGAAGCTGAAGAAGAGCAAAGAAGTGATGAACAGCATTTGCCAACTCACCGGCGACAACTCGACTCTGAATCGGTCTTTGTTGTACTCGAGCTTGAACGAGAAGCACTGCGCCACCAAGCAAAACCTCGAGCGCAGCTCCTCGTTCAAGGAGCACTCTTTCAACGAGGGCAGCGTCGCGAAGAGGAGGTACAAAACCTCGCTCACTCAGGACTTTGAGGACGACGACTCGCCACCTTCCTCGCCGAAGGTGAAGGGCGTGGTGGAAAAGTCCGATTCGGTCAGCTACGTGCTGGATCTGGACGAAAGCCCCGACATCGTCGCTTCGAGGATAGTGCGCAGGAGCTTCAGGAACTCCACGCCGCCGAAAACCACGCCGACCAAATCGCCGACCGGCAGAACGCCCACGAGAAACGCGGTAAGCCTAGAGATGCGACTTGAAAAAAAACGGTCCGTTTTTTTTTGTTTTTTTTCAAGATTAGTCCCATTTGCCTATTTTTTTTATGTTTCCATGGACTAAAATTAGCCACTAAATGACAATTATTAAATGTAAATACAGTATCGCGTTATGCACTCGCTACAACCACCGATTTGACCAATAAGGGCCGCGCTTGTTTTGATTTGGTCCTAAAAAAAGTAACTACCTACCAGAGCTGTCAAAGATACTTTTAAAAAGTATCTAGATACAAGATAAGTTACTTTTTGAAAAAGTATCCGAAGTTACTTTGGGTATCTAGTTACTCTTTAAAAAAAGGAACTTAAATACTTATCTTAAGTTACTTAATAAGATACTTTTTTAGTTACTTTGTATATTATGTAATAAGTTTCGTATAAACCGCCCAACAAAAATTCGTTCCAACCCCACCCTGATTTTTCAAATAATTTTAAGCTTACTTTTTTAACAATTTTTTTCAATAAAATCTAGTTGATTAAAACCATTGAAGGGTCTAATGCAAAAAGTGTCTAACTTAGGCACTTTTAAAATATCTTAAAAATAAAAAGAGATAAAATCGTTAATTAAACACCACAAAATTTAAAATGAAAAACATACATTAAACATTATAGAATGTACAGTACAATGTAACAACCAATACCAGTATACTTATTATAATAACTTCGATGGCCGCGGCCGTTTCGAACAACTTGACTAAAGGAACTTTTCTTGTGGTATCTTAGATACTTTTTGGTATCTATGTTACTTTTTGATATCTAAGATACATTTCGGTATCTAAGATACTTTTTTTAAGTTACAAGATACAGTTCCTTTTAAAAAGTATCCAAGATACTAGATACTTTTTGTTGAAAAAATAAAGGAACTAAGATACAGTAACTTAGATACTTTAAAGTAACTAAGTTACTCTAAAGTAACTAAGATACTTTTTTCTGATTCATGATTTTTCAAATTTATGTAGAGTATGGATTTTTTTTTTCAAAAAACAATAGCAAATTCTTGTAGAACATTTCTTCATTGGTGGTCAGAACATTCCGTGGACCAAAAAAGAAATAAAAAAAATCGATTTTTTTATTACGGTATTCGTTAGAATTGAGCGTTGCACGTTTTTCATCTAAAAATCTCAAAACTATAAACTTCAAGCTTCGAATTGCTTTTTTTACGGCTCCAATACGACCATTTTAACAAATATACAGCTATCCGAAAAATCGCAAAAAAAAATTTTATCCTTTCATTTTTTGTATTAGTGTAGAAGTTTTACATTGCTATTGGTTTTTAATGTGGAAACTACCAAATAATAAGAAATCACATTTTTTAGTCTTGGTCAAAAATTTCAATAATGAAAAATGTAATATTAGACCAGGGTCGATAATTTTTGAAACCAAAAAAAATAACAGTAGGATGAAACTCATTGGAAAAGGAGAAGAATATAATAAAAATGAAAGGAAAAATAAATTACGGGCGATCTGACTTCGGGAAGTGGGAGGGGGGGGTTTTAAGGGTAAAAAATGGTTTATCTCGATTTCCGGCAAAACTACAAGTCCTATGGAAAAAAGTTAAATGGCAAAGTTGTAGGTAATAAAAGGATCTACAACTTTTGTAATTACAATTTTTTTACATAACCTCAAAATTTATGTGAAAAATTCAAAGAACCAAGTTTTTGGTTTTTATTTTTCTTTTTCAAAAAAAAAAATTTTTCCACGAAATTTGGTGAAAACTTTCCTTTTTATGTCCCAAATACAATGTAATTTATTTGATTTGAAATATTTATTATTTCGCCTTATTTTGACTTAATATTAAAAAAGCACCCTAATTTTCAATCGAAAATTCTCGCGTCAAAATATCAGCTTTTTTCAAAAAGTCGGTGTGCTTTTTGTTCGTTGAAATCTCTACTTTCTGATGGTGTAAAAAATATATACATTACTATGGTAAATGTTTTCAGAAAATGCAAAAAATATTATAATGAATAACGAAAAAACTCGAATTCGAAAATTTATTTTAATCATTATGTACAATTTCATCAAAAACATGTGATTGTTGCAATTTTTTTTAGTTAAAAAGTTTATTTATTAAATTCTAATAACATTTATGTCAGAAAATCTCATAAAATATAAAAATACATGTAAATCATACTATTGAATTTAGATATACTTCATTCTGATTACGTTATTCATTATAATATGTTTTGTATTTTCTGAGAACATTTACCATAGTAATGTATATATTTTTTTACACCATCAGAAAGTAGAGAGTTCATCGAACAAAAAGCACACCGACTTTTTGAAAAAAGCTGATATTTTGACGCGAGAATTTTCGATTGAAAATTAGGGTGCTTTTTTGATATTAAGTCAAAATAAGGCGAAATAATAAATATTTCAAATCAAATAAATTACAGTGTATTTGGGACATAAAAAGGTAAGTTTTCAACAAATTTCGTGGAAAATTTTTTTTTTTTTGAAAAAGATAAAAATAAAAAACCAAAAACTTGGTTTTTTGAATTTTTCACATAAATTTTGAGGTTATGTGAAAAAATTGTAAATACAAAAGTTGTAGATCTTTTTAATACCTACAACTTTGACATTTAACTTTTTTCAATAGGACTTGTAGTTTTGCCGGAAATCGAGATAAACCATTTTTTACCCTTAACCCTTTCGTACGCTATGTCCACTGTAGTGGACATTTTTTTTAACACCATTTATATTTTTAAATATTAAATATTTTGTCTCAAAAACATGTTGTCCATTATAGCGGACTAAACATAAAACACAGTAGATGACCGTATAATTACTTGACCTCTCTAAAGTAACTTTGTCCATTCCAGTCGACATGTCATATTATGAAAAAAAATAATGAAACAATTTTTTTTTTTTCAAAAATATCTCAAAATAAAACCAATGAATGCAACTATAACGAAGTAATTTAAATTTGGCTCCGAAAGGGTTAAACCCCCCCCTCCCACTTCCCGAACTCAGATCGCCCGTAATTTATTTTTCCTTTAATTTTTATTATATTCTCATCCTTTTCCAATGGGTGTCATCCTACTGTTATTTTTTTCTCTTTTTACCATTTTTAAAGGCTTTTGCACTGGTCTATATATTCTACATTTGACTCAAAATTTCATTTTGAAAAAAACAAAAAAAACCGTTTTTTTTTTTAGTTTTTTTTTCATGTTTGTTTTCATATCTGAATTAAAACCGTTTTTTTACATCTCTAGGTAAGCCTCAGCAGCTCGGCCAGCTCCGTGACCTCGAGCAAGTCTTCGAGGAACGATCAGTTCTTCGAGTGTCAGGTGAATAGCAGCGTGTTCGCTTGGACGAGCACGCCGCGCGCCAACTCGAAGCTGGACGACAACTCGGACCTGGACGAGGAGGAGACCGACGTGGACCTCGATCTGCCCGCGCTGCCGAGCGAGCTGGATCGGCAGCGGTCGGCGCAGGCGCTGCCCAGTCCGAAGCACTTGGCGGGCGAGGCGATGATATCCGAGAGCGCGTCCGAAGACGAGAGCACCAGTTCCTCCCAGCTGTGATTCCGCGAGGAAGAGGTTTTCTCCCGACAATGAGGCGGAAGAGTAATTTTGCAATGCCGAAGAGGTTCCAGTGAATGCCGCCTGTTGAAAACGGGTGTCGTGTGGTTTGTTATCGACTGTTTATAGTTTCTTTGGACTTTGAGAGTTTATGGATGCACCTTTATATTTGTGAGTATGCAAAATGGTGAAAAAAATTGTATGATTATTTGCTATTTGATAGTTTATTTATTGTCTGTAGATATGTATGTATAATAGAATATATGAAAAAATCGACTTTTTTTTTCAAAATTAAAGTTTAAGCTCTTAATATTATTATTAATATCGCGATTTTCTTTCTTCTTTTTAACTTTGAAATTTTATTCCCTTACAACGCAATTTTGTAGTGATAACACCATTACATATTTGTGTGAGAAATTAAATGCTCTGCAAAAAAGATTTCATATAATTTTACGTTAAAACTACTATTTTAAAATTTATTTAGGGTGAAAGTTGAATTTTCTAATTTTTCAGCAAAATCACAAGATTAAAAAATGCAAATAACTAAAGATCCTTCACGATTTTAGAAACGTTGTAGAAGATAATTTGAGCGAAATAAAACGTTCTACAAAATAAATCCTATACAATTTTACAATGAGTTTGATAGTTTCTTTAGAAAATTTAAAAAAATATATACGTTTTTTTATCTTGAAATTGTATAACTCGTCAACGCATTTTTTTATTAACACCATGACATATTTTTGTGGGAAATTAAATGGTCTACAAAAAATTGTTCATATTATTTTTTGCTAAATTTACTTTTTCAAAAGTTATTTAAGGTAAAAGTTGATTTTTCTATTTTTTAGCAAAATCACAAACATTTAAAAAAATGCAAGTACCTACCTAACTAAAGATCCATAAAAAAATTTAAAAACGTCGTAGGAGATAATTTAAACAAAATAAAACGTTCCAAAATAAAGTTCTATAAAATTTTACAATTAGTCTGATCGTTTTTCTGGAAAAGTAGACATAAAATGTGCGTTTTTTTAACTTTGAAATTGTAAAATTCCTCAATGCATTTTTTTATTGATAATACCATGACATATTTTTGTGCAAAATTGAAGGCTCTACAAACATTTACAAAATTTAAAAAATGCAAATAACTAAATATCCTTCAGGAATTTTAATAACGTTGTAAGAGATAATTAAGCGAAATAAAACGTTTTACAAAATGAGTCCCAAAAACTTTGCGATTATATATAAACTGTAAATTTAACTTTCACATGATGAAGTGATAAAATCCTTTTTTGTGGGGCCTTTAATTTGCTAAAAATAAATATCCTGATATTATCCATACAAAAATGCTTAGAGGAGTTATAAAATTCCAAAGTTAAATGGGAATATTAATATTAAGGGATCCCACTTTGACAGCAGTTTCTCGTCGTTTGGTACAATAATTTCTAAATAAATTTTGAAAAAAATAGTCGATTTTTTATCCAATAACAATTTTTACATTAAATAGGTTCAAATTTTCGTGGTTTTATTTTTGACTAACGGTTGTTTAGTTTACGAATTGTAGTAAGGGGTAGTGTTTTTTACTAATTTAACTGTGGGGATATTTAATTTTGTATTATTTGTAATATTTAGTAAAGCACATGTGAAACTAACTAAGTAATACTTCAAGCATTTATTTTTAGTGATTTACATAATATCAGAGTTTTATCTGGTTCATTTTTCACTAACTCATAATTAGTTAGAGCTTGAATATTAAATTTTTCCGTTAAATCATCTCCGCGCATTTTATAATTTAACTCGAGCTTTTAATAAAAATTATACATATAAGGTTTATGCAAACATTTACACAAGTAAATATTGTGATTTAATTTGTAATATAGTGTTTATGGGAAGAATTTTGAATATTTTACATCTTTCTACTAGCGCCCTGTAATGTAGATAGTCCACAAAGTTACCGTCTCATCTCGAAAGGACTGAAGTTTGATTGAAAAAGTGATTTGTATAAAGATGTTGTATGTTTGAGTTTTGCGGTGAGATGGGCGACTTGTTAATATTCCTTATTCAGTATTACTAATCTAACCATATATAAGGAGCAGACTTGCAAAATGATTTTAAGTCTCCTAGTTTTTCCAACTTTTAACCTTGTTCAGAAATTAGCAATGCTAAGTTCCATAAAAAACTAGACAACATGCATTTTGCAAATCTGCTCCTGATATTTCATAGAGAACTTGTTTTGTTTGTTGTTATTTTCTTTAAATTACGATAAATGATTTGTATTCGTGGTATAAATTTATAAATATGATTAAGACCAATTAGAACCTTCAAATGTATACCGACTTGCAAACTGTTTAAATAAAAATAAGTTAAAATTAAAAATGCTTTTATTTTCAAAAATTTATTACTCCCAATGCCCGAAATGTCTGCACGTAATCCGATAACGTAACAAAAACTGAAATCCTCAAAGTTGCCCTTCGTACAATATCCTTGCATACTTTCAATAAATTTTTCCGTCTCTCTGGATCCAGCTCGGGCAATTCAAACCATTTTGCGTTGGGCAAATTTCCACTAAAAAGCAAATAGGCGGTTCCAAAGGTCATCAAAGGTGGAACCAAAAACATCATTAAGGGTAACGCGAAAGCAAGGCATAGAAAAAAGCAAAGTACTATCCTTACACTTGCAGGGAATGCGGGTTCTCTGGACCATATGATTTGAATGTCTCTTAAAATTGAAACAGGGGCTTTATAAGCCCTGTCAAGGATTTTTTGAAGAAAATGTTCGCCATACACATATGGCTTTTTTCGTCTTTGTTTACGAAGAAACGGATGCATTTTTATATTGATTTTACTTAAATTTTAAACTTTGTCAATTTTTTGACAATCATATTAACCTACGACATTTAATATCATACAGGGCCGGTTTTTCAATCGTTGGTTAAGTACTTAACCAACGATTGAAAAACCGGCCCTGTTATACGTATAACGTACGGTTAACTTTCATAGATACTATTGTGTTAACAATAGTATCTAAGGAAATTAACCGTAAGATAAAGTTAACCAACGATTGAAAAACCGAGTTGCAGTCATATATTTATTTTGGGATATGGGGTTAAAAAACCGATTAAAAAAAAATAGTTTTTACAGTAAAAGATAAGAAAACGAAATCTTAGCAAATGCTTTTTTTGGTAATGCTCTAGAAAAAGTTATAAAAAAGACTGGACTATTAACTATATTGACTATAACAATAGGGTTATATAAAAAAAAATTGTGCGCCAGTAAAAAAATATATTTTGTTTATTTTCTTTTAATTCTCTTTATTTCAAACGAAATTTTCCTATTGCGTTTTTTTAAACAGCATTCGTTTTTAGTTATTATATTTTCTTTCCTAATATTATTTTATCAGCTAGGCGCACCATGTTTTTCTATTTTTCCACTTTCCGAAAATATAATGCCCAATGTTTTAGAAAATAAACTACGTTACAAAAATACGCCGTGAAATATCACGCCTCATTTCACGTTCTTAAAGTAAAATTTACCCGCACAACAATATTTCAAATGATAATACAAAACTCCAACAAAATTATAAAGATGACGCAAGTGTGTACTTCCAGAATGGAAACGAATACATATTCTCAAGGGCTTTGTTTTCAATACGTTTTCAAGAATAAATATATCCTAGGGATACTGGAACTGAGAAATGGTGGAATCAAATTTCATAGTTGAAAATAGAAGCTTAGAAATAAGACCCATATAATGTTATTATGATGACAAAAATTTGAAAGTTATATTATTTTAAAAATCTTCCAGAACCATTTGTATTTACTTGTGTGTGGTTTAAAAAGGACTTTTGTTTATTTTTTATAACATACGTTTTTATAGTATACAGGGTGTTCGTTTTTCAAGGCTTAGCATGGGTATCTTGCTTATCTTTAGAAAAAAGTTGCAAATTTTAAAAAGAAGTTTTACTTATTATTTTTAGTTTCGTTGAAAAGGAACAAAGTTATTGGACACTTAAGGAATATTATTTATTTAAAATTTATATGCCGTTGTTTTAAAGATTTTAGTTTTTTTCTTATAAATATATAAAAAGGATAGTTTATTTGTTTAAACTTTATTTTCGTTTACTTAAAAATAAGAATATATGAATTTTTAATATTAATTTTATTAAAACATACAAAAAAGTATAGTAATTGAACATTTTATATAGTAATTGGACACATGGACCATAGTTATTGGTAATTTTTTTTATTTCGGTTTTGTAAAAATCATTTAATTCATATATTTCTTTCTCGGATTCCTCATCCCTTTTTTGGATTCTGAAGTTAACTACTAATTCCTTGGTCAGACTTCCGAAATAAATTGTTGCAAATATCATTTAGGCCGGAACAGGATGATTTATATATATCTAATATTTTTTCGGGTGGTATGTTACAAGTATTTTCCGAATTTATTAATTTTGTTGCCATTAGTTTGTTATGTTCTCTATCATGCACTGTATTTAAATCACTGTTATTCTGCAAGATGTCCTGTGACGAAGAATGAATTAGTCAAAAATGTCATAGCGAAAAAGCAGCCACTAATAATTCTCGTCAACAGCTATTTGTATCCGGGACATTTAGCAGTCAATTCCTATGAAATATTATTCGCTGAATCCGAAAATGTCAAGTTAAAAAAGTACAACAGTTTTTGAAATATACCTAATCAATTTAACATATAATATGGAATTGACTATATCTCAAAAACTGCTTAAATGTTATAGTTTTGATGGTCTTTTCGGATTCAGGAGACAATTTTACATAAGAATTGGCTGGCAAATGTCCGGGATACAAATAGAGTATGATATTGGACACATGTCCAATAAGATAAATTTACATTTTTTACCAACCAGTAATTGGACACTGACCATTTTTCTGTTTGTTTTCAGAATTAAAATTAAAACGCATTAAAGTGAGAATGTTTAAACCATGAGGAACACATTTATACCACGTGTGCACACTTATACTGTTTACTTTTTAGAAATATTTTTTATTGTAATTTAAACACAGCTCTGCTCTTAACAAAAAAAACAAAAATCTTTCCACCAAAGTAAAGTGCAAACTTTTTTGTCCTATATTGGACCCAAAATAAAGTAGTTCTATATTATAACCGACTGAGATATTTATAATTGTATACAGCGTCATCTAATGATTTGACTTTAAGGTAACTATTTATAGAACTCTTGTTTTTACAGTATTAATGTTAATTGTCCAATAACTATAAAGTGTCCGATAACTGTCTACTTTACCCTATATATTTATATATATATATATATATATATAGGTATATATATATAGGGAAGGGAAGGGAAGTTTAACTCTGCCAAAATCTATTTGCTAGCTTTAAAAACTGCTGAAATATTATATAATTCTCAGTCTCGAAAAATGGACAACCTGTATACTATAAAAACATTTGTTTTTATTGATTCAATTAAACCGTTTAACAGAGTTAAAAAGATTTTTAATATAGATTTTAACACCTAAAATTATTGAGAAAATTGGAAATCTTGTCGAGAATATTAGAAAAGATTAGAATACTTACAAGAATATTGAGAATAATCAAGAAAAATTTGAAACATTGCCAAAAAACGTTTAATGGTATAATTTTTTTGCCATGCTGTTAATAATTTCTTGGGAATTTCTCGTTTATGCTTGTTTGTGCTCAATTTGCGTTCCCCAAAAGTGCTTGGTCATTTTTCATCTATTTTATTTTGCATATCACATATTATCACCAGCTACTAACAAGTTTTTGTATTCTAAATTAAACACGTTTGGAGTTGACGTAAGTATTACATATCACATATTATTACCAGGTAATAAAAAAAAATTGTACTCTAAATTAAATGTGTTTGTATTTTTAAATAATATGTTAATGTTATGTTATATTTTATCGGTTAAAAGTTGTATAGACAGGTCCATAAACGAATTCTTAAATTTTGTAGTTTTATGACTAGGTATTTAAAAAAGGTTGAGTCTTAAATCAAGATTGTGTATATTGGATCTTTGAATAAAGGTGTTGAATAGGTATTTAGGCAATTTTTTGGTAAATACTTTCTGAACTAATTTTCCAAAATTATGATTGTAACGATCATCTATTTTTAAATGCTTGTTTTCCAAATAGATTGTAATGTGGTCAAATTTTCCGACTAAATATATAAATCTAATACAAGAGTTCTGTATTATTTTCAGTTTATTTTAAATCTTTCATTAAGATATAAGTAGTTGACTAGCATGCAATAGCCTGTAATGGTGTATATTAATGTTGAAAAAATTTTGTACTTGGTATTTAGAACATACTTAAGTTTAATTATATAATGATTTCGGCTTCATATAACACGAATTAAGTTGTCTTGTAACATGGCTTTCAAAGTTCAGGTTTGTATCAAAACTAACCCTCAGATTTCTTGCTGTTTCTTGTAGTATTAAAATTATATTGTTTTGATTTATTTATCATGAACTGTACCAATATTTATTACAAGACTCTTTTTGGCATTAAACTGAAGTCCATGACCAAGCATTTACTTCTTTTAAGACTTTATTTATTTCGTTAGTGGCTGTGTTCTCTTGTTGCGTTCATTCAATTTTATCAAAATTATATATTATATTTTTTCTTATATTCTTATGAATATTACCAGTGATGGGTCAAGAAAGTTTCTTAAAGAAACTAAGAAAATTGAATGTTTACCTTAATGTTTAGCCCGTTTGGGTTAATTCTAGATTCCTTTAGGCCATATTAGTATCTGTGATACAATTGCTGTGTGCAGTCCCGGTTGCATAGTATGTACCGATTGCAGCAAAGGCCACGTCGTTTGACGGTGTGGATCACCTGATGTTCTTACATCTCGCCTCTGTTGACTTAACAACCGAGCATATAAGCTGAGGGAGTACTTTGTTTTGATTGTGTTCCACTATACCAAGTTGCCCGACACTGATGAGACCCAATAAAGGTCGAAACAGCTGTCTGTCGGTATTTGAAGTTGGTGGAACGCATTCGAAACAAAAAACTTTGGCGACGTGTAGGTTCAATTTTTTTTTTTTTTTTCTTATATTCTTATGAATATTACCAGTGATGGGTCAAGAAAGTTTCTTAAAGAAACTAAGAAAATTGAATGTTTAAAATTATAATTAATCCCGGCGCATTCGCCATTTTTAAAAGTATTTAACAGCTGATATCAAAAAATTTAGAGGCCTACGTTGAGCAGTGGGCAGAAGACTAAAAGAAAAATAACTGCATTTCATAATTATTTTTGAAAACAAATATTGTATCGTCATCATTTATATATATTAACGAACCGTATAGGTAATCCTATATTATTTGCATACAT